ATATATATATATGCGTGTGTGTACATATATTATATATTGGGATATAAATCTAATTGAAGAGTCCTCTTTTGCTTTTATACCAAGACATTATGAATTGCACTAACTGATCAGTAGCAAGATCACAATCATCACAAAAATATTCCTTTACTGGATGTCACCTTGGGTTCTTTGATTTTCTTACTTTATTTATTTACTTATTCCTGTTCAGAGCCATTAAGCACCACAAGATGTGTAAGAATTACACGCACCACGAGGTAATATATATATATATATGTATATAGACAAATCACAAACTTTTTCATTACTTCCTTAGATGATCAAATATAGATAAAGGTTCTCCAAATTCATTAGAGGAGAAAAAAGAACATGCCATTAAAAGTTCCTCCACTAGGTTTAATAAAAAAAAAAACAACAACATATTCGTTTGCTAGTTCTAATCACAATTCAATTTTTTCTCAGTATTTTTCTTATAAAAATTTAAATTTAACTTTTTTTATTATAATATTTTTTTTCATATAAATTCACATTTTCATTTGAGATCTTAACTCGAACGAGTAAAATGAGCTAGACTTAAATTTCTATTTCTCATGGTCATATGGGTTATGGGAGAGAAGAAACCAGTAAGCTGGTGAGAGGCATGTCAACAACCTTTTATGTACAACAAATTCCAGGCCCAATCCAGATTGGAGTTTCAACTTTCAAGTTTTAGTCTTTGGGCCTGCACTGATTTCTCTTAAAAATATATTTTTATTTAAGAAAAACAGCACAACGTCGCTTTGGCCGAGTGGTTAAGGCGTGTGCCTGCTAAGTACATGGGGTTTCCCCGCGAGAGTTCGAATCTCTCAGGCGACGAATACATTTTTTTCTCCATTTATATATATATATATATATGAGGGATTCTCTATACTTTTTTAATTCTATTTTTATAATGTTTATGAAGTATCTTATATATGTATATATGAATATATATTTATCTGTGTGTGTAACTTTTCATATATATATATATATATATATATATCCATTTGAAAATTCAGATGAACAAATGGATTGAATATATTTGTGAGGAATATGGACTTCATGGGGAGCAAATATGACAGAATATTTTGCTTGTGACATAAAAATTTAAAATATCTTTACACAACATGTGCTGTAATATTACATCTTCTCATATCTTGGACACTTTTGACAATTGCTTGCATTTCTACTACCTTGAGATATTATTATTCTCTTTTGTACATCTAATGAGGAAACTAACAATTTCACCAACAAATATCTTTTTTTATTATTGTCTATGCTCCCAGCTATACTATCTTCCTATGTATAGTACACTACTCACAATTTTTTGTCCTCCGTGCAATTGGAAAGACGATTATTGCACCAACATCAAAATACGTACATAAAGGTCTCTGTCTAAATTATATATACTGAATTTGCCAACATGATCTCAAGAAACCTCTTTGAAAATCCAAGGGGGGGGAAAAAAAAAAGCAAAAAAAAAAAAAAAAGGACTTTGATGTGTTGACCAAGAAGGAAAATAGAAAACTCGGAAAAGGAATTTTGTGTGATCAAGAGAGGCCGCGGTATATGTGATGAAAAAACTTATAAGAGAGGATGAAAAAAATGGTAGGAGATTTCTTGTGCAATTCCGAACCATCTATGTTCTTTTTTTTTTTTTTTTTTTTTGGGGGGGGGGGGGGGGGGGGGGAAATTCTCCATGATATTGCCAAAAACTTCTTTGACAATAAATAGGAAGGGGGGAAGCTTTAATGAAGGGGAAGAAGAAATAATGAAGAGCTAGGATGATGATCAATATTAAGAAGGAAGATGTGGGGTATAAGAAGTGGTTCAAAAAAGGTTGTACACGTGGCCAGATATTAAACTTGGAAATCAAGAAAAGGAAAGGAAGATATATCTTGTATCAAACCTTCCAAATCCCATTCTCCCATTTTTAAGTTTTCTCCTTGCAATTGCCCAATATTACTTCCAAACCCCAATATTCCACCACTACTATAATTATTCATCAAGTGGTTGTTGTTGTTGTTGTGGTTGTTATAAGCACTGCTCATAATAGTACTACTACTATTTCCCTTGATATGATCAATAGGAGCAATACTATTATTTTTATTCTCTTCAATATTATTGTTGTTGCTAATTCTACTTTCCAATGGTGGAATCAGAGAAAAGTCCCTAATTTCCAATTGGCCGGCCATTTTACCATATTCCTCCAAAACCCCATAATCCGGCCCAAGGCTAACACGATCATGATCATCAAACCCTCCAACTTGAGATAAGCATGCAGAGGGCATCACGTTGAACAAATTACTATCTGCATGGCTCATGTCATGGCGACTATAGTGACCAAGCACATTATAAAAAGGGTCAAATTGGTAATTGTTACCGGTGCCGGTGCCGCCGCAAGCCGTGGTACTATTAGTACTAGCCTGCAAGGATATTGTTGACGATGAGCAAGATGAATCCATGTGCACGGCACTCGCCATGATCATCATGTGATGACGATGATCATGACCGTCGCCGTATTGCATGGAGATGATCGTCGGATCGTGGCCGTCGATCTTGACGTGACGATGATGATGATCTGTAGGCTGCTCTGCCGATGAGTTGCTGTCGTTTGGAGAAGATGAGGATGTGGAGTTGTTGAGATGTTTCAACCTTTTCTTCAATGTGGAGTTCCAAAAGTTCTTGATTTCGTTGTCCGTTCTTCCTGGAAGACGAGCAGCAATTTGTGACCACCTGATTGCACGTAGAAAAATTATTATATAAAAGATTAAGCAGTTTTTATCTTTAAGAGATGAATACATGTGTGTGTAAATTTTTTTAAAAAAATAAGAAAGTGAAGTGACTCTTAATTAATTAATTTCATTGGTTTTGGGAAAAGCACGGTTTCTTCTATATGGCTTTAAAAAAAAATACGCACGAGTGCTCTTCATGGTCTTTAATTGCTCGAGTAGTTTTACAAGTAACGACTTTGGATTGATTTTTTTTTTTTTTTAATTACATCCTCCGAGACTTGAGTTACAGAACTCAATTCACACACCAATTAAAAAAATTCATTGAGCTAGCAGTCTGGCTTAAAGTTGATATGCATATATATATATAGATGGTACATACATTTCAATATGAAATGGTCCCAATGACTTTATAATAACCAGCTGGAACATATAGAAAACAATAAAGGCGGATCAAGTAACACCAAAAACTGGTTAAACAAAGTTAAATGATCTAGACTTATCTACTAAAAATGTGTAAATGAGATGCTGAACCTAGAAGCAATATGATTAATTTGTAGCAAATGCTACGCAGTGGTACGTACTCATCATTAGTAATAACAAACAACATTTAGAGAGAATGTTGATCATTAACGGAAAGGTATCTATCAGAGATATTGCAGACAGAAAAATTTCTCTCTTTTTTTTTTTTTTTATGGAAAAATTTTGTCTCTCTCTAGTGCACTAGTTAATTAGTCATGTTGTTGAGTTTTTTAATATTTTGTACTGATCTAATTGCAAATCAGATTCGATTAATTAAGCAATTACATATATCTATATATGAGACTGCATCATATATATCAACAGCTCAACAGTCTGCAGATAATTAAGTTGTACATACATATCTAAGCTATATATATTAATTTATATCCTATTGTAGGCAATGCGATATGTTAGCTAAATTACTTATATGACATGATCTGATCAACAAAGCTCCGTGCATTAACAAAAGAGGAATATAAACTTATTGCTAAATGATATATTCTTTTCTAGCATTTTAGTGGGAAATATAATTTCATGATTTAATTAGCTCCAAAGGAAAAGGAAATTAGCAGATATATATGATTAATGACACAAAGAAGTAGCTAGCTAGCTTGAGAGCAAAAACTAGATCAACTCTCAATTCTCTTATAAAAACAAAGGGAATACATTATATATGGAAATGACATATATACATATCCATATATATATATATAGAGAGAGAGAGAGAGAGAGAAGTACTGGCCTGTTGCCAAGAAGAGAATGCAAATGGATGATAAGGTCCTCCTCTTGGGAAGAGAAAGCGCCGCGCTTGAGATCAGGGCGCAAGTAATTAATCCAACGAAGACGACAACTCTTCCCACATCTTTGGAGACCGGCATTCCTTGCAATGTCACTCCAACAACCTTGTCCATTGCTCAACATGTATCTCATCAGCTTCTCATCTTCTTCTGGAGACCACAATCCTTTCCTTAGTTTGTTTATAATATTCTTATTTCCAATAGCAATATTTTTTTTATCACTCACTACTCCAGACATTGATATTGATGATGTTCTGGGATGATCAGATGGTTTCCTCATGTTATGGAAGTACGTACTGCAGGGCTAGATATAATAGCTAGGGTTTGATGGAGAAGATCAAAGAGTTTAGAAAGTTGAAGGTGAAGAATAAGAGAAACAAGTACTACTCTAGACTCACGGTGTGATGATCATAATGATGATGCAGATCATGGTTGTGGAGGGGTTTGCTTAAAATATGAATGTGAAAGTAAGAGAGAGAGAGAGAGAGAGAGAGATTGTGTTTGTTGGTTGATGGGTGGAGTGGGAAACGGATTGGAGGGGGACCTCCAAGATGAGAGAGAATATTAGAGAGAGAGAGAGAGAGAGAGAGAGAGATTATTATGTGCAGTGGAAGCAAAAGTGCAGCTGTCTCAATACAAAGAGATCATGAGATGATAATTACCTTGTGAGTGAAGAAAAATGCATCCAAAAAAGACAAGAAAGAGTCAAACACAAGAAGACAATCCATTCTCTCTCATCTCAAACGTACACGTGAATTGGAAGTATAAACATAGATTAGAGAGAGAGAGAGAGAGAGAGAAGAGATCTAGAGAGAAAGAGAGAGAGAGAGAGGAGATCTAGAGAGAGAGAGAACATCTATAAATATACAATAGTAGTTCTTTTGATACACTTCTCTAGCTGTATGGAAAATTTGTTAACGCAAAGATATATATATATATATGTGTGTATATATATAATGTATAGTGAACATATATATATATATTGTTGTATTTGGTTGTTTAACTCTTAATTTGCATGAACAATTATTTAAAACAACAACCGAACATACTTCTCCAGCACATTACGTACACCCCATTAATAAAAAGGAAAAAAAGAAGAAGAAAGGAATGTTTATTTTTATCTTTTTAAATCACATATAAACCCTCAAAACGTGCGGTGCTGTTATTTTTTTCACTTGTCCACTAATAAAGTACAACAGATCAATATCAATTGCAAATATATTATTTGGCAGAACATAAATAATCATAAATATGAATTTTTTTTCTTTATAATACGAAAAATACTTACTGGCATGTAGCTAGTGCGTGTTTTGATTATCAGTTCTAGTCAAATTCTGTTAAATTATATATATCCTTTTGGTTTTTAAATGATTTTGGATGTAATTTAACAGTCCAAACTAGATACACCAAGCTGTATCGTATTTTGTTTTTCTTGCCAAGTAATTCTCCTAAATAATAATCATAATGGTGATGATCATCCTGATATATATAATTATTATAGTAATAAATGATGAATAGCCAATTGCCTTCCAAGTAACTGAGAGTAGTTGCAATTAAGCAAATAAATTGGCCCACTCTGTTGTAAGACTTTCTTGTTTGATTGTTAACAAATGGGCAAACTTGTATTATTATCCAATACGGCATGTGTGTGTGTGTGTGTGTATATATATATATATAAAGATATATTTAACAGTTTCATCAAAAAGGATATATTTAACAAGATTTTTAGACAACTATACAGAATGAAACGGACAGCTTATTTTCATAAATGATTTTCATTCATTCCATTTATAGTTATCCGTGTGCATATATATGTATGTATGTGTATATATATATATATATATACATATATATCTCACCTTTCTGTCAAGTGTTGTACACTGCACTCACTTGCTGTCAAAGACTATACGTGTACTTGTCTTATCCACAATCATAATTTTGGACCATCTCGTTTGTTGTTAATTGCTTAAAATGTTTACATGATGAATATATTGAATTTTTCTTACCCAAAACAATAGCATCATTCTATATATTAAAATGGTAATCCATTTGAAAACTATATATGTATCATTAATTTGTTCCATTATTTAACATTTCTGAGACGCAAGTAAAATGTCATTTCTTAGAAGAAAAAAGACTATATTATTATTATTGTTGTTATTATTATTATTCATTTTTTGTCAAGATAATTTTGTGTAGTTTTAGTTTCCATGACTATCTAGTGGCTATATATCAAGAGATACATTGTACAGATATAGACAATACAAGACAGTAAAAAAATACCAACTAATTAATCATATACCGTATTCTTCAATTAGAAGAAACAATATATCTAAAAACTTATCCTTGAATAAGAAGAGAGACTCGTTCTATCTTGCAAATGATCGTTAACTTCATGTTATGCTCGTCAGACAAATTTATAAGAAGACCTAAAACTAACAACGACACACAGCAGTTATCACTTTTTTTCTTCTTTCTTGTAGAATAGCTTAGTAGTTAGATATCACATGTTACAGATAGACATATATAATATATAACTAATGCTGCTGCATAAAAATCCTTATCCTGTGTGCTCTGTGATATAGTTATAGTACATTACCCTTTTCATCAGGAATTCCCTTTCATTACCTAATCTTTCTTGTCTACATGCTAGAAGAAAAATATTATTGCCATGTCGTGTGAAAGTAGTATATATTATATATACACACACGCCTATATATATATATATATATATATCATGGGAATTGTTCTGTCAAGGCAATACATATAAACATATATATATATATGTATATGTATATGCGGTATGTCATTTTCCAAGCCAAAATCAAGACTTATTACAAGGGAATAAGTCATAGTCAGTAGTTACTTTCATGTTAAGAAAGGCAAATTCAGTTATTGCAAAAATCTAAAATTTTCTGTGTGCCAACAAGGAGTATTACTGTTGCATGTTTTCCGGAGGAAAAGTGACCGGGGAAACTCTCAAGCTACTCAAATATTTCAAAAAGCTATACACACACACACACATATATATACGTGTATGTATCTACAGCTGTCCCAGATGAAAGTACATTTTTATGCTTGTGAGGATGTACGAAGCAATATGGTACTTAGTCATAAAGACAAGAAAGACCAACTCACTTTGTTTCTTCCTTACACCTTGTACTTACAAAATAACACATGAATCTATAATTTTATTTGATAATCTATCTTCCAACGAAGTAGAACTTAACTCCATGATAGGATAAAAAAAAATCCTATTAGTTACTGTACAATTCTAGATAATCATATGTTTATTAAACTTACATATGTGTGTGTATTACTTTTGATACATAGGACGGTCCAGAATTACGAGTAGTACTAATAATGTGTTACTTATTTATTTATTTATTTTTCTTACCTTATCACGTAATTCCCTTCCATTAAATGAAAACGGGAAAGAGGAAATAAAAAAGAAAAATCATGAGTTGAAAAGGCTGTGCCTGTGCAAGTACTGAAGAAACTCACAGAAGAAAAGGTTGGTCTGATTCTCTAAAAGGTTTAATTTGGCCACTATCAACTTTAGACATGAATGTGAAAATAAATGATGAGTCCCATTATAATTCAGGAGAGGCCAGAGGGGGACTTCAGCATTTAAGATGATGACATTAAATTTTCAAAAGAAAAAAAAATGTTGGAAGAGTTGGAGATTTTAGATCAGGGAAAAAAAAACCCCCCTTTATTCATCAATGCATAACTTATCTGCTATCATGATCCTCCCAATAAAGGAGATTTAGAATTCTAGCTTCTCTGTAACACCAAGTATATTGTTCTTTATTTCTTACACAAAACAAGTGGGAGAGAGTTGTTTTTAGCTTTCTGATCTGATTTGATGGATATGCATATTACCCTTTCATTTTAGATACCTCCAATCTTCCAATTTTGATCTATACACATCCATGGCAATATGAGTCACGATACGACAACACAATTTGAAAATGACACGAATTTCGCGGGTTATGGTTGAGAAAAAAGAAGTTCGGGTCAGAATTAGGTCGACCTAAAATTAACATGAAAAACACGGGTCAATTTTGAGTTGGATCTGCCTAATCCGAACACGACACGAAACTAAAAAAAACTAAAATATATTTTTTTTTCATTACACATTTTAGATTTTATTATGAACTTGTGATATCATGATAGTTATATTCAAAATCTTATACTATTATTTGCTTAATTTTGATGGATATTTTTGTATTTTAGTGTGTTATGAATTTTAAGTTATTTCTAATATGTAAAAAACTAAAGAAAAGTATATAATTTTTGTGTCAATTTCAAGTTCACAGGTTAATTTTGTGTCACGGGTCATATTCATGTCATGTCGTGTCAACCCGTAAAATAATCGTGTTGAATTCGTGTTGCGGTTTTTAAAATTTCGTGTTACTCTTGTTCAGATTGACTGTAAATTAAAAAAAAAAAACGATCAAAACACGACATGTGACGCGAATTACCACTCCTATCCACGAGTTACTTTGTCACGTAGAAAAAATCAATTATTAGTCGAATGTAAATTAAGCGATTTTATAATGCCACTTATTTTTCCCGTTAACAAAGTGGTAGACAAGATGAAAAACGTATTTATGACAAGCTCATAAAACTACCACCATCAAAACTATCACCAAATAGTAGTACGTTATTCTTTATATTAGTGATGATAAATAACAATGCACTTTTATTGGTGACCAAATCACTAGTTATTACTAACAATTTTTTCAACTCACATTGAAATGTCCTCTATTAAGAAGAATTTCATCAGCAAGTGCATAAGGTCTAAGAAACCATTTGAAAATACAGAAATGTATATGTGCCTTGATCTGAAGAACGACAAATTAAGGGAAATTGAACAACTTATGACTTCAATAAGTGAAAAAAACCATCCAAACGAGGTTCTGTGAAGATGAAGCTTTTTATTTGCAAATACATGGCATCCTATCCCGTGGGGTACTGCCATATGTGAGACATAGTTGAGGAACCAAAATTATATAAAAAAGAATACTCTTTTCCTTCTTGAAGCTTCAAGAGAAACAGATACAGAAGCAAAGAAAAAAGGGAAGAAAGGCCGTTCTGATATGGGTTTTCAGAGGTTGCCGATGTCAATGGGTGCCCGCAAGAACCGCTCCATTTGACGAGCCCGAGTCCTAATCGACATGTCAAAAACCTTCTCACCAAATTCAACCACGAGCCCACCCAATATGCTGGTATTAATCTGAAATGCAAACAATTCAAAGTTATATACAAAGGAAACAAAATAATAAATAAAAAGTCATAGAATGAACACGAAAAGAGGACGCTGGCCCGTGCTTACCTTTTGCTCGAGCTTAACCTTCTTCCCCTGCCCAATTATCTCCTGCAATGTCTCCTTCAACTCTCTCTCTTCCTCAGGCGGAAGGGGCTGGTCAGAAAATAACAACGACATGTCATTGACAATAACATCTTGCAGCAATATGGCTGTGGCTGAGACTTGACCAATACAATGTGAAAACATAAGAACTAACAACTTGAGTATGACTTCTACACTATCCAAGTAAAGAGGCTCTGCCTAACCAACGATTTTAATATTCAAACTGGCCCAATTTTCCTAAGTGGCAAGGCAAGAAAATATAACTTTACTAGTGACTATCCTATATTGGCAAGGCATTATGAAGTCCAAAACTAACTCTTCATCGTTAATAATCATGGTTTCGGAGATAAAAAACGATTAAGCCATGAAATATTATAAACCACCACCACAACGTTGTAATAAGGACATCACATTCCCATAACAGTTCTGCCCAGATGAGCAACATCCTACATCAACTCCAACAGTTTCATATAGGGCATCCCATAACTGCAAGCAACCTACTTAGCAATCAGAGGAATGTTTTTTAAACAGGGTATGCACGCAAAATTAATAAAACAACTAAAGGAGGTTACATGAAAAAAAACAATAAAAGGACGTCATGGAACCAGACTTACAATGACAGTCGTCACAATAGCTGTCACTTCGCCCCTGTGAGCCATAGTCAGCTCCAGAAATTTCTTTGTTATGGTGTCAATGTCTCTTAGCCTACCATTCTCGGTGGCGACAACTACAATAAATCATATATAACAACAAAATTAACCTCAATTCTCAGATTAGTATAAAAACTCCACTCAACCATCGGAATTACAGACATTTAATGTAAAACGATGTTTGAGTAGCAGTTTAACTAGCAAAGCGAAAAACATAAACATAATAAAAACCTTTTGAACAACCACACTTTTATTTTATTAAAATTGTACAACTACAACCACAGATAATATGAAACGAAGTTTACAAAATCAGTTAAAAAGTGCCTGTCAGTAATATAGGCAATGCATTTCTTGGGAGTCTTGCACAAAATTTAATGAGGTAGTTACTATAGGTCCATATTTTACTGGAAAGCTAAGAGATCTAATGGTCTATATACAGAGTGGTGTAGGTTACACACGTAACTTTCAACAAAATATAATGTCTTAATAAGCCCATCAACGCTAATAGGCAAAATATAACCCAACAGAATTCAGAGAAAGACTAATCCAGTTTTCAGAATAAATCAAAAAAGACAGACTAACCCATCTTCAAGTAATTCACTAATGAGCAACTAACCATACCCAGAAAGTTCTTTGTAATATCTGAAAGCTTAGCTTGAGCACAGATATCGTTGATTGCCTTCAGTCGAACATCCTTTGTAACTGATAAATCCTTGGCGAACTGAGAAAATAGAGGACTTTTCTTTGAAGCCTCAATGAGATCAACAAGCTCAGACTCCACCTTGTCCAAGACATTAGCTTTTACTGATGCAAGGTATAGAGCAGAGGCATAGTTTCCAGCACCCCCAAACAAAGCCAAAGGCAGCTGGAACGTCACAACAATGGGACAAGATACGCTCGTAAAATGTGAAATATAAATTTTCCTTCTTTTTTTTTTCTATGTATGCATGTGTGTTTACATACATTACTTTATTTTATTTTTTCCATTTTAGCTTAGCATTGTAGCACTAATTCGGATACAGTTGACTAATAGATAATTCCGTCTGGAAATATGAAAGATTTGATATAAGAAAGGACGACATATTTACAAATTGGGACATTATTTGACCGAGCTTCTAATTTGGAGCTTGAAAATTATTTCTGCTAAAGCTTCAAAAACATAGTGTAGAGAGGAAAAACCAAGATTTTCTTCAAATGACTCTAATATATTTCCTTAACAAAGATCCAACCAAGGTTTTAAAAGGCGGAATCGGGCCTTGAGGCATTTTGCCTTTACAAGGCAAGGTGTAAAACTCAAGGTGCTTTGAGGCGTAAGCCTCAAAAAATGCCTATAAAAAATTTAGGAAAAAAAATAATACAAACAAAAACTAAATCCATACTTAATAATCATTAAAAAAAAGAAATTTAACCAAACATCCACATAAAGAGAAGTCTATTTCACTACTAGAAGCGTAAAAAAGGCTAAATAATTATCAAATCCTAATACCATAAGGTTCATAATGCACTTCTAAAAGCCTAATCTCCCAACTCATCAATCACCATCACTACTAAGAAAAGAAGAAGAGTGTTTGCCCGTGCGAGGAAGAAGAAGAAGAAGGAGGAGGAGAGACGGCTGTGCAAGTGGCTGGCTGCTTCTTTTGTTATTAGGGTTTTTTCTTAGTCATTAAGGGCCTGGGTACTTTGGGCTTTTTAAAACTTTTGGGCCAACATGTTAAAATAACCCACCAGAAGACCCTTTGCAGAGAGGCGGACGCCTCAATAACCACCTGAGGCGCCGCTCAAAGGCGTGCGCCTCAGCCACCTACCCTGTAAGGCGTAGGAGTTGAGGCGCTTTTCCAACGCCTCGCCACGAGGCGCACCTCAAGGCGTGCGCCTTTGGCGCTTTTTAAAACCATGGATCCAACTACATGAAAGTGTCCATTCTATGTTCCTAATTTGCACAAAATAATACTGGACAACATTCTAGAACCAACAATAAAACACAGAGTTTTACCTTAACTTTTTTTTCTTCCTTTTTCCCAGTGGCAGTTGCATAATTCCTCGAGAACTGCAAAGACATAGCTTAGTCAGCAGTTATGCACCACTCGAATGAAGAATTTGGACTTATAAAAAAATAATTTGGTCTCTTGACACTTAAGTGCATCAACATTACTTCTAAACACCCCATATTATACAATGATGTTTGGAATTTCTGAAATAAGATAATCAAGAAACAGTCCCTCCTAGAACTTAAACATAACAACTCTCTACATTTTTATGCAAATGCAACTAAAAAAAAATTGTTAAGAAATTCTCAACCAAATATAAATCTTAAACACAACCCATTTCCCAGAATCTATGGTCAACAGTTATGCAATGAAGAATTGAAACTATAAAAGATGACTTGATACTAAAGGGAAAAAACATTACTTCTTAACACCCAAGAACAGACAAATATATTTCGCGATTTCTCAAATGAGATAATTAAAAACAAAGCCCTGTCCTCCGAGATTTTTAAACACAAAGTCAATATGACAATTAATACCATGAACTAGTCTGGAAATATTGCCAAGGCTCAATTTTTATTCTTATATTTTGGGAATTGCAGAAAACCCAACTTCGGTTACTAAAGAATCTTCATTATAATTATTTTCCATAAGATTCTAAATCAAAATTTTTTTTAATCCTAATCCCGGCGTAGAAATATCAAATCTAGTAATCGTAATTAGACTGTTAGCTCAATCAATCCCCAATATATTCATTCTCCAAAAATGAAGTTCAAAAATATTAAACAAAAAAAACGATCTTTCTTTCGAGAAATAAAAAATTAAAATGGTTTCCAGCAATCGAAGAGACCGGAAATGGAAAATAACAAAGAAAAAGACGATTTTCTTTTCTAATTTCTGCAAGTGAAAGGTACCTCGGAATCAGAGAAAATAGGGTAAAGTAGGGCTCTTTGGGGAGCCGATCCGTTCGCAGCAGATAGAGAATCTGATCTCAAAATCTTTGAAACGAGAGGAAGGCTCGATCTCAAGCGACCAGCGAACGCCATTTTCCGAATCGGGATTTAGAAAACCCTTATAAAGTTTCGTCTATGAAAGTCTTTTTCTGAGTAGCCAAACAGGACTGGAGAAGAAAATGAAAGAGAAGAAGGTATCTTGCGATAGTAGGGCTGGAGATCAACGAAATGAAAATTAAAAAAAAAAAAAAAAAAATTTAGAGTATGGGCCGAGGTGTGGAACAGGCCGGCCCAGTAGTCCAGAGACAAGTTATTAATGGGCCTTATAGTGAACGTCGTTTGTAAAAAAACGACATGTCGTGTTTGATTGAAAGAGGAAAACGACAGGTGTATTGCAAAACAGCTTTTTCAGGGCAAGTGCGTGACAGAGACACCTTCTCTTCTCTGCTCTGCCAATTTTAACGTTACCTTCTCTTTTCTGTTAGGCTTCTTTGTTTTTATTCGCTCTACTTTTTCTCCTTATCCATTCTATGTCCACAATTACATTGCACGCCCGACCCGGGTCATAATTCGGGTCAAACGACAACAACTATTGTAGTTACAATACAAATAACAATAATAATAATAGTTAATTTCATATATTACTAGTCTGTTTGTATTAAGGGTTCAAGTGCATTTGAATCCATTATTTGGTTTTAAATCTATGCTTGATTGTTAGAATTTTGAACTTGGATTTTGTTTGAGAACCTTTGGGAACTAAAATTTTAGGTTTTGGAGAACTTAACTCCCATTAAATTCTCATGAGTTTGAACCTATTTGATATATAGTATCTTTGGTTTAAAACCATGATTCTATTTCTGATTTACTCACAATTCTAACACTAACCAAACACCAGTTTAAATATTTATTCTACGATATGAAGTTTTATTTTCTGATTCAACTTTACATTATCAAACGTCAATTTGAACCACTAGAAAACCACATATAGATTCAAACATCATACAATTCGAACTCACAAAATGTACGAGGTCTACATGCTGTAAAACACTAACATAATATATGCATTATTATTTTCCAAAACACTGACATGGGTAATACTTAAAGATGTGTTTTCTAAATGTTATCGTGTTTTTTTCCCTTTTGTTACCATCCGAAATTTGAATTTAAAATGGTATTGCGATTAGATATCTAGAATGAAGTCATGGAAAATTTGATAGATAGCAATTAATCAATCTCAATGATATCGTAAGTCAACATTAATTCAACGTCAACGAATACTACATGTCAACCTATTTACTAAGGGTGATTTCATATCAACCTATGTTCAATTGGAAGGAATTGTACGAATAACGTGGTACTCCTTTCTTATTTTCTATAGACATTTGCAAATATCTGTTATATGCTACACTTGCTGTTTTACTTAACACTCTAATATAATAACATTTCAGAATACAAGTATTTTTTTCACTTAGTTATGAATCATTGTACCTTCACATTTAGAAAATAATAGTTTGTACATACCATTACACTAAAAAGATTAATTACTTGAATGTTAATATTGAAACTCGTTTTAAAATGATTTTATTTTTTATATGAAAATGAAAATGAAAACGTTTTCAATCTCAGATAGAAATCATTTTTGAAAATGCGTTTAGTAGTTTTATTAAGAGATTGTTTTCAATATAAAAAACTTATTAATATCTCTCTCTGCTTGAGATATGAGAAAACAAAAACAAAAAATGAAAATTTATTTCTCTCTCATTTTACACTAAACTAAAAAATCATTTTTTATTTCCGTTTTTTGTCTTTATTACGTTAAACGCCGTTTTAAAAACGTTTTCATTTTTTTTATTGAAAAACGTAAAAAAAAAAAAAAAACGGGATCAATTCTAAATACAAGATTAATTTCTTTAGATATTAGAAAAAAACAAGACATTGGTTTTTTATTTTTTTCCTTATAGATGGATTTTGCATGTATTTGAAGTATAACTTCTTACCATATTTTTCTTCTTGCAGCATCATTCTCCCACATACTATATATATTCTTACAAAGCAAATCTCAAAACATTTCAGAAAATAACGCTCGAATCAAACTCAGAGATTCAGAAAAACAACGCGCATATTTCGTACATTATTTTTATAAAAACATTTTCACTTTAAAAACAGAAAATTTTATGGTAGAGTATGAAAAAAAAAAAAAAGAAAAACTTCATTGAAATATCTACATTTCAAAACCGGTAAATATGTATCTATCTATTAAGTTTTACTAACATAATTTTAAGGGTAAATTGCACAGATAATTCACAAATTTTTGAGGGGCTGTTCTTTTATCGTTTTTGAGTTAGGTAATTTGAGTGTAGATTTTGAGTTGAGTTGAAGTTGTAACTTGAGTTTGTGTTTGGTTGTGAATCTTTTTTAAGTTTGTGTTTGAGTGAGTCAAAACTTAAATTTGTATTTAGATAGTATTTTAATAAAAACTCAATGCTGATGGAAAATTTTAATAGGGTATATGGGTGGGGTTTTATTCATCTTTTCGTTGTCAACGCATAGAAAAAAAATCATCTCAATCAGAATTAAAATGAAAAAGTTATAGTATTTTTAAGAATAGAAAAAATACTGTTCATTAATTTGAGTTTGAGTTTCTAAACTTAAGTTGAAGGAGAAACTTGGACTCGAGTTTTAGTCCCAAACTCGAGTTCAAACTCGACTTTAAACTCGAGTTCAAACTTAAAAGAACATGAACTTGAATAAAGTTGTAACTCGAGTTACTTTTTTTGAGTTTTTAACTCAAGAAACCTGCTTCCGAACAGCCCTTTAATAAATGACAATTTAATTTGTAATTTTTTTAGCGAAATGATTCAAAATTTTTTTAAAAGTGACTGTTAGATTTATGTCATGATTCGAATTATGATTCGTAATTCGTTATAATATTTTTTCTCATAAAAAACACACATAAATTAAAAATAATTCTGAATCCATCAACCAAATATCCACTAATTACCCATTTGGTTTATGGATTAGAACTATGAGATTAAAACTATTTTTGATTTTTGTGTATTTTTTATGTGAAAAAATACTGTAGCAAACAATAAATCATGATTCGAATTAGGGAACGAATCCTCCAACCAAATGGGCACTTAGGAGATGTTTAGTTCATGGATTAGAATCATGTGATTATAATTATTTTTAATTTACGTATATTTTTTATGAGAAAAAATACTATAATAAATCATAAATATCATTCAAATCATGGTTTGAATCCTCTTACTACACGTCTCCGCCGTCTTTTTCGTTATATTTTTGACAGTGTAAGTCATGTGTACTACGCATGATCTCGTAATAAAAGGTTTTTTACTAAACTGAATAATTTCCTCTCAAAAATCAGATCGAAAGTACAACTAATCCTTGCATCATCAACGTATCAAATCAGATCAAATCAGTCATTGCCTTGACTTGAGTCCTTGCCAAATTATTTCTTGAGTTACTACAAGAAGTCAAATCAAGTCCTTGCCTTAAGTTCAACGAAGCCCCCAAACCAACATCAATAAAGCTTCTTCCTTGCATTTTACAACTAGTCCTCCTTCGCGTTCTTCTTCCTTTCATTCTCTAAATTTGGATCACTTTTAGAATCCAAGTTTGAATAAGAACCATCGCTGCTTGGGTTGCGAGTGTGGGCCTCGCGACCCACTTCTCCTACAGTGGATCGCGATAGGGTGGGAGCAGATCTCGTTGGTGGATGCAAGCGATTAGTGAAGAAGCTTGGCGACGATTTTTGGTGGCGCCGGAGATGAGAAGGGCGAAGGCCCCGGCTGGGCATTGGAGGTGCGGGCTTGATGGGCACTGATGATTTTTTTAGATTTGTGAGACGAAGGAAGGGGAACTCTTTTCTGGATTTTTGACGAAGGAATGGGAAATCTTTTCGAGGTTTTCTGGGTAATTAATTTATTACAATTGTTTTTGTAAATATGTGCTTGCAATTTTTTGGTTTTGATTATTTGTTTGAAAAGTATTTTTGGTTTTGATATGAAATTGTTGATCTGCGAGAAAGCGGAGCAAATGCAGTTTATCTGTACGAGAAAGATGAAATTTGGGGAAAAAAGAAGAAGTATGTGTGTTTGAAATTGATGTCTTTTTATTTTTCGTATTTTGTAATAAAGAAAAAATAAAAATATTTTTAAAATGGCGTTTGACGTAATAAAATAAATAAAAATAAAAATAATTTTTTAATTTAGTGTAAAATAAAAAAATAAAAAATAATTTTTAGTCATTTTTTATTTTTTATTTTTATTTTTTTATCTTTCAAGTAGAGAGAAAGACACATAGACATTAATTAAATTTTTTATATTGAAAATAATCTTTTGATAAACGTATTTTAAAAATAATTTATGTCTGAGATTAAAAATATTTTTATTTTTATTTTAATACAAAAAATAAAATTATTTTTGAACGAGTTTCAAAAACACTCAAAACTTTTTTAATGAGGGTATTTAAGTCATTTTATTAAAAATAAGAGTTACGTAATATGTTCTGTTAAAAATTTAATAGAGGTTAATAGAAAGGGTTAAATTGTCACCTTTTAAAAAATTTGGGCGTTTCGGAAAAAAATGGATTAAGGATCAAACTTGTTATTTGAGCTCGTTTAGTTGTTTATTTTAAGTTTTTAATTCGAATTAAGATGTGATTTTATATAATAATTTTTTACTGTAATAAAAAAATTAGATGTAATTATTCTAACAAAATTTTACTGTAATAAAACTTAAATTTTAAATTCAAATTAATAAAATGAATGAGATTTAAAAAGTTTGAGGACTATTTATGTAATTTACCATAATTTTAATTAGATTCAATATTTTTTAAAAAATAATTAATAAAATAAAGTAAAACTCAGAAGAAATGCATAAGACCCCAAATCTACAAAGAGGTCCGTCAAACACCCACCTACCAGTAGAAGACAATAACATCTGCCTCTCTCTCCTCTCTTTCTCTCTCTTGTTTTTTCCAGAACTATCTCTCTCAATTTTCTCCATAAAAACCTGTTCTCCTCCTCCACCAAACCTCCAAACACACACACTCTCTCTCTTAGATACTGTTTCTCTCTCTAGAACAGGACAGAAAAAAGGAGAAATGTTGCAGTTCTTCTTCTCGGCGGCGTTCTCGGCGATTCCGCTGACGCTGTACGTGCCTCCGCCGCGGCACCTGAACCTCTTCGTCGGAACCCTAGACGAAATCCTCCATGACTCCCGCCCCGTCTACGCCAGGGTATACCCCCGCGCCTGCCGGATTTGGTCGTGGATCTTGCGCCATGTGTTCTGCATCCGACGGCGGAGGTAGATTAATTAGCTGGATATAGATTCATCCCCAATTTCGTCTTCTTCTGTTCAATGTAAATATAGTCTCCACAAGGTTTTTCTTTTTTTGTTTTTTAATTTTGTTTTTGGTGGTGATCTTGTGCGGGCTATAAAGTTGTTCCATTACCAAAAGAATAAACGAGAATCCTATCTGTGGCATGTCATATAATCTGTTTTTTTTTTTTTTTTTTTTTCAGTTTTGGTTTTTTTTTTTTTTTTTTTTTTTTTTTCAAATCCTAAATTTTGTTACTATATACGGCCAAGGCATAATTGGGAAATTAAGGAATGATGAGTGAATGAATGAAGGGAAGAAATGGTAGTAATGTGACTTTGTGATAAATGTAATGAACAAAATGAAGCAAATTAAAGTACGAGACTTTTTGGAGAGATTTTATTTTATTTTTATTATTTTGGCTTAGTTAGTTTTAGTGATAATCTTGCATTGGCTATAGAAGTCATTTATGAGACCTTTGTTTTTTTTTTTTTTTTTTTTTTTTTTTTTTTTTTTAAGTCAAAACTATCAAGCCAATTATTTTTTCTAGTTTTGGGAATTCATTGTTTATTGACAATATAAATGAGTGAATCAATTGAAATGGGGAGAAGAAGGAGAAGAAGCGTATTATGGATGTGTGCCAAGAGACTTTTTGGAAATATTTTATGATTATTATAAATGAAATCAGATATATGTCTTTTCAAGCAAAGGAGGAAAAAATGAAATCAGGTAAGAACAAGAAATAAGGTATTTTTGCAGGTTACTTATGGAGCCAAAAGACCAAAACTCAAATCTAGAAATAGCATGGCGTTTACTTGGATCAATGTCTTTTAATAGAGTTAAAATATTTTTGATGGTTTAGCTTTTTTTCGAGTTTTGGAAGTTTCTCCTTGTTCATTCCTATCCTTTTTTCTTCTTCTTCTTTTTTTTTTTTTTTTAATGCTTGTTTGAGATTATCTGATATTTTTGGAGTTAAAAAAGAGGAAAAATACAAAAAGGATGAGATCATAATGAAGCTGTTTATATTACAAATGTTTGACACTTGTCTTTTTCTTTTCACCTCGCAATATTTGAAGCATGTAATCAGTTGTGATGTACTCAGAAAAAATGGGAACGTGTAATAACATGTAAATTATTGGAAATGGCTTCGTTATGGGGCTATACCAATTCGGTAAATTTTGTAACATTATTTGTATCTTCATATAAAACATTCATTTAACGCTTAATAAAAATATAATCTACATTCATGTTATATTAAATAGCACCGGAATTAAGACCTTCACTTAAATGAAATTAAGGGCTTGACTAATCGAAGAAACGATAAAATTAAGAAGAAAAAAAATTATATAGGCATAAATATTAGGAAATTAAGCAGTTCTAAAATGTAATTAGGCGTGAGGCTCGTGTGGCATGAGGATTCTTACATGGGTTGTTGTCGTATTCGGCAAAAGGCAAGAAGAAAAGCCGCTTCTCATCACGTGTTAGCTAGTTAAGATTTATGACAATTTGATAGATAGGTCTCTATTTTCAGACCCTTTTTTATATTTTAATTTAGAGTAAGGCTTTTACTATTCTGTTGGATCAATATAAGATATTGTTACTTTTTTTTTTTTTTTTTTGCACACCTTTTTATTTTTTGATTTTGACCGTATCTGATGTTTAAATGCAGGATAAGCTCAAATTTTGTTCCCATTTTCTCACTTCTCCGGTCGGTTGACTTTAAATTTTCATGCCTTTGTGGTGAAACCAATGGCCATTGCATGTGATCCTTTTTTCCCCAAAAATTTAAAGGAAAAAAAAAAAGAAATGATTGAAATAACTAAAAAGATACTTTCACAATATATAATAGAAGTATTTCTTTCTCACTACAAAGAAATGGAGGGAACATAACAAGAATACATATTTATTCATGAAAAAGAATGAAAAGAATTTTGGCTACAATTATTGCACTTTACTTACAAGTTTATCAATAACAATAACATGAATAAAATGAATGAAGGGAAAAAACTAGAAGGTATTTGTGATGGAAATGTAGATAACAAATAAACGAATTATGAAGTAAAAGGAAAAGAAAAAAATTTGAAGAATAGATTTTTGAAAATATTGTTTTTGGTTCTATAGTTTGTTTTTTTTTTTTAAATTATTATTAAGCATTATTATAGGTGGATAGTGTGCAAGGCTTCAGAAACCAAAATACGTCCAAAGTCCTAGCAGCTTCTCTTGACTCAACAATAGACGCACTTTTGTTTTTGTCAATGGACTCTTTTGCTACTACTACCTGCTTGTTCTGCTCTTGTAGAACTCCTCTCTCCTAAGAGTCCATAAAAAAGAGAAAACATAATTATAAGAAAATACATTAAAAAATATATGCAATTATGTTTGTCAATCAGAAAAACACAATATATATATATATATATTAAAAAAATATGAAATAAATATGAGGGGGCAAAAAAAAGTCGCAGCATACCATGAGCTTGGATTTGGAAGAGGTGGTTTTTCTTGTGGCAGAAAAGCATTGAGGAGAGGGAGGATTTGTTCGAATTTGCAATATATTATCCTCTTTGCGCTTTATATTCTCCAAGTTCACAGAGATTGGGATGTTCTCTATGTCCTCAATTCTTCTGCACAAAAATTGTTTACTCAAAATTTAGTCACCCCCTAAAATAATCACCATTGAAAAAAAAAAAAAAAAAGAAGAAGAAGAAGAAAAAAGAGTGCAGTCTAGAGCCATTATTAGCTCCTCATTATAGCTCTATTGTTCTAGCAATTATAGCTCTATTGTTTGTAATAATCATCTTGAAATACTAATCATACCTTACCATAATTTGAATAGTCTACTTTTGGCTTACACGTTACATTTCTACCAAAATCCCATTATAGCTCATCATCTCTCTGAATGATTAAAAAAGGATTCTTACTTTTTCTATTATGAAAGAATTATATGAATTTACTTTGCTAATGATTTTGATTTTGTTTTTTATTTTTTCCCTAGTGTTGTTTGGTATGTGAGAATAAAACTGCAATCAATGTGTTAAAGTAAAACTCACTAAATAATCAATTCACTAGATCACATTCATCACAGATCCAAAAAACCAATGTAGAGAGACTCATAATTCACAAAAAAAAAAAAAAAAAAAAAAAAAAAAAAAAAAGAGTGAAGCATACACACATAGACACACACAAGTAAAGTAAAGTAATAGAAAGAGTGAACTTACTTTTTTCTCCTTTGCTTCTCCTTGAGAATGCTAATTCCCTCCATTTCTTGAAACGGTTTCTCCTTCCCCCTCAAATCCAACTCACTCAAGACACCACTTTTACTCTCCTCCTTCACCACATTCTCCTTCGCACTCTCCTCATTTTCTCTCTCCTTCGGCCGCATTGCCATCCTCTTCAATTCGCTGCAGAAGTCGCTGATCTGATTCAAAATGTCCCGCCCCGCGAACAAGTTCCTCGCGGAGAGCGTGCTCTTCAGCCTTGGTTGTGGCAGCATTGCCACCGCCTCGTCCGTGGCCATGGCCTCTTTCGTCTCCGCGCTTGATTTGATTGCGGCCTTGAGGATCCTTGATTGGTTGTTATAAGGAGGAGGGGTTGATAGATTCGGATTCAAGTTTTCGCAATCTTCATTGAATTTGGTGTTACTATTACTGGGAGAAAGCCAAGCTTGAGCTAGAAGCGCTCTTCTTTTCACCTTTGCATCTCTGGTGGAATTGCATTTCAATAATATTAGATAAAATGTTCCAAACTAGAATGTTTGAAAAAAAAAAAAAAAAATCTCTTTTTCCCTAAGGTGTAATGATACAGGAACTAAACCAAGTTGGAAAGTAAAAGATAATAATAATAATAATAATAATAATTTTATCCCTGCAGAAATTGAACCAAATTTAGAAAGATTTAATCTTTCTTTGAAAATTAATGAAATTAATTTTGTAAAAAAAAAAAAAATGATCTGTTTTTTCCCCCCAAAACTTTATATGAACCAAAAATAGCAAGTAATTAAAAAAAAAAAAAAAACTCAATTGTTTCCCTACGAAATACAATACCTTTGGTTTCTGTGACCAAGTGGAGAGATCTCAGAGACACCAGCTGGACTTGCAATCTTCATCAACGAAACATAAAAAAGGTTAAAAAAAAAAACAGCAAAGGTAATACCAAGAGTCAAAATTAGGGCACATAATTCTTTATTTTCTTTTTTTTTTCCTTTTTTTTTGTTTCTTTGGGCAACAAAACAGAGCAAAATTCACGAACTAAGAAAATCACGAGAGGGGCAAAAATGAAACCTTTGGGGGAGTCGATTTGAGGAAATCTTGAGCTGTCTTTGGGTGGTTGCAATCTGTGACAACAAAATTTGTCAAAACACAAAAAAAATAAAGAAACCTAATTGAGGATATATGTATATGTATAATGATGTATGTAAAGATTGTATTTAAAGAATACCGGGTCTGCAAAACCAAGCATCGTCGTCCTCCAGAGGTGGGTTTGAGGACAAGAAGTCGAACCATTTGGGGGCGTTGATGTGCTCGTAGAGCTCGTCTTGTACGAACTTCCATTCCAAGTTTTTCCAGTCGATTTTTGCCGGTTCCATGATGATTACACTACTACTACTACTCGACTGGTTCTGCTAGAGAGAGAGAGAGACAGAGTTATAGAGAGAGATAGAGAAATTGAGCTGAGAGAGAGAGAGAGAGAGAGAGAGAGAGAGAGAGAGAGAGAGAGAGACTTCTTTCGGTTTCTGGGAATAGCTGTGAATTGGGAGGGACGAAGAAGGAAGATGTAACGGTTAATTAGGAAGACAGGGGGAGAGAGAGGGAAACAAGAGAGAGAAAGAGAGAGAGAGAGATAGAGGTGAACGTTGGTGTTTTAGTGTTGGTGTTTGTGACCGTTGGAGATTGGAGATTATTTATTACTTATTTATTGTTATTATTATAATTTTGTTTTTTTTTCCTATATTAATTAAAGAAGGCTTTTGTCTTGGTCTTGGTCAAGTTGCAAGTGACCTCAGACATGGGTTCTCTAGCAGAAATATTTGCATTTTGTTGCAATCCATTTATTTTTCTTTTAGGGATTTTTGTTTAATCATGATGTGCATCATATACTACCAACAAAAAATGTGCCTCATATTTTTTTAGGGGATTTTATTTTTGACATTATATTATATGGTAGAGTAAGAAAAATTTAAACCCCAACTCCAATGGTTTTATTAAAGTCTTTTTCACAAAAATTTAAATTTTAATTCAAATCATATGAACCCATAAATCAAAGGGGCACTCAAAATATTTGCATCGTCTTAATTGAAGTCTTAAATTTTTGTGGAGGAAATTTCCCTCCTTTTTTTTTTTTTTGAAGTAAATCTAGAAATCATATTAATCATGAGAAATATCGTTTCAACACGACTAATAAAAAAAGTCATGGAATCAAGCCAAAACATACCAGCACTAGAAGTAAATGCATGACCAACTAACGTATGAGTCACACTATTCCAATTACGAAAAGTGTAACAAAGAGAGCCACAACAAGCTTGAAAAAAGACATCTCTAAAAAGTATATTGTAAATTTCGAGTAGGGTCAGGCTGACCCTCCTCCTCTTAGGGCCATCAGACCCAGAGTAGGAAGTCTGAACTTTCACCTCTAAGTTCTACCAACAAATTTTCTTTTTTTAGGTCCTGCCCTTATTTGCTTGTGCTAAAAGAAATATTTCTAACAATAACAGCAGCAGTAGCAGCAGCAGCAATAATAATAATAATAATAATTAAGGTGGAAAAATCAGGGTAAAAAGAAGATACGGAACAAAAGGGTCCAAATGAAGCTATAGTTCTTCTTTTTTCCTTTGGTCATAATCTGAAACTCGTGAGCTCACTTACAAGATGTTAAAAGAGTGAAATGGAACTTCAAATTAACAGGAGTAAAAAAGAAAAAGCTATCTACCCATCACCTAGCCATTGTATGTAAAAAAGAAAAGGAACCAAATATAAAGAAAAATAAAGAAAATCGAATTTCCGGGCTTTTTTTCCCCAAATGTTTGATGCTTCACTGCCTTAATTCGTTGCCAAATACCTCGACATTGCAAACTGGGCATATCTAGCATATTAGAGAAAGAGAAAGATGTAATTTTTTTTTGGAAAGGAATAAATTTAGGAAAAGAAATCTTGGAAATCGAAAATGATGAAGATGAGAAAGTTAAACCTTGTTGATGCTGAGCCATTTTCTGATGCACTCACTATGGTATACATGCTTGCATGGCAATTTTGTTTGCCTATCCCCTCTTTTGTACCTCATCTGGCAGACAACACATCTGTTTTCACAAGAGAAACTGCTATAAGGAAATTTAGAAAGGCTCCAAAAGAGAAGGAAAATTCGAATTAAGGGGAGAAAGAAACAGAGAAAAACAATGGCGAAGAAGAAAGAGAAGTGTCTTCATTAGGTGTTAACTAAAATTCTGATCAACAGATTGATCAAGAGTTTAACTTTAAGGAGATCAAATACTACTGGAATGTCTCGCCGTCTAAAAGCTGCCAGAATAATCCCTCAAACAAAGGCAATAAGTGCAGAAGATCATACTCGGAGACTTGTATATTTTCCTATAGTAGCTTAAGTTTAAGGTAGAAAGATTTGAAATGCAGATGATCATGTTTGGAGTCTTAGAAGGGAAAAAAAGGGAGGCCGTAGATCATTTCAGTTAATATGAACGAACAATGAGTGCAACAATTGCATGAAGTGTCCTTCACTGAGAATGTTACCTCTCTCCCGATTTTTTTCTCGAGAAAAGGCTTCCAAACTTGCACTTCGAGGTCGGAAGCGAATTAATAAGCTCCTCGGAAAGACCTCGACTTTGAGTCCCAACTGCCTCACCCAAGTCGAGTAATTCCTAACGAACAACAAAACGTAATACATATCAATACACTCATGTAAGACACTACTTCTGAATATCACTGAAAGGAAAGATGCTAAAACTGTGGCTCAAATAAAATGCAAATTCATGATATCTTGTGAGCAGGAATATGGGAGATTGTGCGTATAACAAACCTCGTAGGTCATGTTATCAGGATCTATGTTGTCCTGCCATATGGCCTGTGGCAATCACAATGGAAGAGGGCTTATTTAGTCTTCAACACAAGCATTTCGCAAGCAGAAAATTAGTAATTTGATGGAAATAAGTGGTGTTTTCTCCAAAGTAAGAAAACTTGCACATATATGCGAGTACAATAAAACACAAAGGAACACACATTACGCATTAATGCTTTCACATGAGTACCAAAAGGCGAGTTCCGTACCTGGGAAGTATTCGTATTTTGATCATTTGGACTATCTACAGAAATACAAGATTATTCTAGTTAGAAAGATATCTGTACAAGTTTATCACCATTAAAACATAAGTGAAAAAAAATTGAATTAGCACCAATAGCTTCACCACCATAGTTAGAATAGGTTACAAGACAACGAAAACCAAAATAATTGCAAAATGCAAGAAAAACCAAAGTAAACTATCATCTCATTTTCAATTACAATCACTGAAACAGAATGTAGACTTCGGAAAGTGACGAATAGTGAAGACCAGGCATAGAGTAAAAGCAGAGTTTGGACTAACATTCTTCAGGTGTAGCGTGATCTTCTGTATCAGCATCGACATCGACATTGGCATCGCAATCGGCGTCCCCTCCAGGTTGTGGATCCGTGGCTGGAACCTCTTCCGTAGTCATCATTGGAGGGTACTCCCAAGCTCTCCTGCTGACATCCATTCTTGGCAAATGATCATTTACCTCATAAGGACCATAGTAAGAAGTACTACTTTCAGGCCCAGAGAATCCAAATTTGTATGAATTCATGTTCATTGACCAGTATAAATTTTCCTGGACGGCAAACATATACAAAAAAGCAACAATTTCATCAAAAGATATCTTTTGTCATCACCACCACAATGCTCAAAACACTTAACTTAAAAAAAAAAAAAAAAAAAAAATTGCTAAACTAAATAATAATCACGCACAGGAGCATCAAAATATTTGTTAGCACCCCCCACTTGCATTTTTCAAGAAATGCACAACAAAAGATATGACGTGGACTAGAAGGACATTTATTTAACAGAAAGATGACCATCAACACCACACTCACCAATTTTAAGAAAGTTCTTTGTACAATTGGTACTATTATTAATCATTAAATATTAGCCATAAAGAAGTAAATCTAACAGTACAGGCACAGCATGTCTACTGATTAGTCTTACAAGGGGAAACCCAATTCATTAATTAATTAATTATAGATTATAAAAGACAAAATAAATGCACCAGTACAACAACAACAACCCCACGTCCCTGCATTGATCCAACAGAAAAAAAACTCACATCTAATCACTGCTTCAAAAGGACGAACAATAACAATAAGAACCCATGTTTGGATATCTTTTGACCAATGTTTTTCCAAGAAAAAAAAAATATATAAAAAGAAATAAAAAAGTACCTGATCGTGAACAGGACCTGGGATATGAGCATAGCTCAAAGGGACATGTGTAAGGCCTTCAAAGAAGTCCATGAAGCTCTCAGTGGCGGTGTAAGGAAAACCGGTGTCGATGTAATGCACTTCCATTTGTCTATTTCCATTCATTTTTCACAAACTAGCTTTCCATATAACAAGCTACACAATATATATATATATATATATATATAACAACTCTCATAATCGACAAAAGTAGATTCAAGTAAAGGGATAAACTTTGGAGGAAAAGAAAAAGAGAGAGGAAAAAAGCAGGAACTTTGAAACTTTGAACATTAGTACAAGTTAAAATTCTAACCTTACTAGTTTCCAGGGTTCAAGTCTCATTCCAAAACTGGTCAGTGCTGGCTAATAATAATAATAATAATAATAAAATCAGTGATTTTCTTGTATGAATGATAACAAGTGTTTAATCACTTGTTTATACCCGAACTCGTTAAAATTTAAATTAAAAATAAATAAATAAAGAATAGTATACTCACAAAAATTGAAGATTCAACTTTTTATCTTCTTAACCCCGTGTTTTGGCTGCATTGAAAAATACACGAAGTGAGAATAAAAAAAAGAAAGAAAAAAAAATCAGAATTTTGCATCATTTTGGATGGGAATAAGAGAATACAAGAGAGAAGAAATAAGGAGAGAGAGATTTCTTTGAAATTTTCTTCCTTTTCTGGGGAACCAAACAAAATAACAAAAGACAAGATTTTTTTTTTTTTTGGTTAATATATAACTATTCGGTACCTAGAAGAAGTGAAAATGGAATCACATCTTTCTATCGAAATGCACCGAGAAAATCTGAGAATCAGAGACTGAAAAGACTGAGCAATTACGAGAAACAAAAATCTTGAACAATGCGATGCAGATTAAACCACGAAAATGAAAGAGAGAGAGAGAGAGAGAGAGAGAGAGAGAGAGAGAGAGAGAGAGAGCAGACATTGATGAAGGTGGTGCAGCAAAACTTCAAACGAACAGGTATATATGTTGTGAATACTGAATAACTCTCTCTCTCTCTCTTGTTTCTCTCTCTTGTCTCTCTCTCTCCTCTGTGTGTGTTGAAGAGTTCGAGAGAAGCAGAAGAAGAAGAAGGAAGAAGAAAGTGAGAGTGTTTAATGACTTCTTCTCTTTCTCTCTCTAATCCAATTTTCTCTTTCTTTCCTTCCTTCCACTCTCTGTTGTTTTTGTCAATGTGTCTGCTTTTTTTTATTTTTTATTTTTTACTTTTTATTATTTTTTAATGATGCTGTTTCTGACTCATCAACGCCAATACGCCACCTTAAGCGGACTCCCCACGACGTCGTTTTAAATTATTAACTCCCTAATTTTATTTTATTTTTTTGAGTGACTTTTTTTTTATTTTTATAAAAGAACAAATTATACGGTTGCCCCTCAACTTTAATTTTAAACCCCTCAACTTTAATTTTAATTTTTTTTTCTCCTAAACATCAGTAGTTTTTATAAATTTTTTTCTGTTAAATTTTTGATGAAAAATGTCATGTAATATGCAAAAATTAATAAACGAACTCCATTTATTAAGATTTTTAACATAAAATAACACATATTATATAAATAATGACTATCGTTTGAATAATTTAGTACACAATTTATTTTTTTAGCTCCTCCTCATGCAGTCACATGAAAGTATAATTACGCAGCAGGAGTAATTATTTTTTGATATTATAATAACTTTCTCCTTAATTTGCTTGATCTAGGGAGCTTTTAGGGTTTATAAATGGCGACTAACAACAGTAACGAAAGTAAAAATTTAATAAAGAGATGAAGTTTGAAAGTAAAAATTTAGGAGAAAAAAAAAGTTAAATTAAAGTTTGAGGAATATTTTGTGACAATGCGTATAATTTAGGAGCAATTGTGTAATTTGGCACTATTTGTTTAGAATTTATAAACAAAATGGAAGGAAGCTTCTCTAATAGGACCCAAAAAAAATAAGCTACTGGTACTTCTCTATTGTCAGCCGTCAGATCTGTATTTAGAAACTATTTGTTATGCATATTTTTTCAATGTGATGTAATTTTTATTAGATTTAATGACCATAAACTGACACCACTAATAAGATTATCCTAATAGAGAAACTGCATTTAAACTTAACTAAGGAGAAGTAGGGGAAACGATGAGGTTCTGAATAAATGGATCATTTCAGCGCATTCAAGAGTACAATGCATAATACAGAAATTGACATAGTAAAAAACACTTAATGTCATAGTGCATAACCTACAATCAAATCACATAACTAATAAGGGCATAACAACTTAAAACACATAACACATACTGATTTTTAGTGAAACCTAAGGTCAAATCTAGTCTATGATTGAAAACCATTCTCAATAGCTAGATTGAAATATAAGAGTGTGAATTTACCGTTGAGCTAAACGAGAAACCATGGTAAAATTGTTCTTAAAACTTCACTAAAAAAATATGTTCTGCTATGAAAACTAAGAAAATGTAAAATTAAAAAGAAAAACTTTAGAGAGAGAGTTTCATTAATCTTGTAAGAGTGTACAAATTGAAGAAGCTTAGAGCTCTATTTATAGAAAAATTTCAGCACTATTCACGGTTACTATATGCACAGTACTTACTATTTATGGTTACAATTTGCACAGTAAGATTCTGATATGAACAGTAACTTTGACTGACTTGCATAGAAGTATTTCTTTCACAATTTGCACAGTAAGTTAAATTAAAGTTAATGTTTGAGGAATATTTTGTGACAAGGTGTATAATTTAGAAGCAATTGTGTAATTTGGCACTGTTTGTTTAGAATTTATAAACAAAATGGAAGGAAGCTTCTCTAGTAAGACCCAAAAAAATAAGCTACCGGTACTTCTCTACTGTCAGCCGTCAGATCATGTATTTAGAAACTATTTATTATGCATACTTTTTCAATATGATGTAATTTTGATTAGATTTAATGACCATAAACTGACACCACTAATAAGACTATCCTAATAGAGAAACTGTCTTTGAACTTAACTAAGGAAAAGTATGGGAAACGTTGAGGTTCTGAATAAATGGATCATTTTAGCGCGTTCAAGAGTACAATGCATAACGCAGAAATTGTCATAGTAAAAAACACTTAAAGTCATAGGGCATAACCTACGATCAAATCACATAACTAATAAGGGCATAACAACTTAAAACACATAACACATACTGATTTTTAGTGAAGCCTAAGGTCAAATCTAGTCTATGATTGAAAACCATTCTCAACAACTAGATTGAAATATAAGAGTGTGAATTTACCATTGAGCTAAACGAGAAACCATGGTAAAATTGTTCTTAAAACTTCACTAAAAAAATATCTTATGCTATGAAAACTAAGAAAATACAAAATTAAAAAGAAAAACTTTAGAGAGAGAAACTAGAGAGAGTTTCATTAATCTTATAAAGGTGTACAAAATGAAGAAGCTTAGAGCTCTATTTATAGAAAATTTTCGGCACTATTCACGATTACTATTTGCACAATACTTACTATTTATGGTTACAATTTGCACAGTACGATTTTGATATGAACAGTAACTTTGACTAACTTGCATAGTAACTCTGATTGAGGTGCATAACTACTATTCATAACACTTCCCCTTAAATGTCCAGCATTCATTATACCTCATTAAAAACCTTTCTAGAAAAAACCCAGTGGGATAAAAATCATAGAAAGGGAAAAAGAGTACATCATTTATGTATACGTATTTATATTGCCTCGTTAAAAACCTTATCAGGAAAACCTAGTGGGATAAATGTTGGTTTCCGAATCGAATTTGGATGCGGAAGCGTGAGAGTAAGCTAATCGTGTATAACAAAAATTTTCACAAAACCTTTGAGATACTCTATAGATTATATTAATTTATGCACAAATAAATTAATCACATTAATTTATTTAATAAGAACTCGAATGAGAATTATACCTAGCAGCTGATTAAGATGATAACTTGAGTTCTTTGACCTCGAACGTTCCTTGCTCCAATGCTAGTTTAGAAAACTAATGTCTTCATCGTCAATTTCTTGAATCCACGAAGACGTGTGTATAGGCACACCTGAAACAAAATGGGTTAGCAAAAACACTCAAGAATTTCGACGAACACCAACGCATGCATGACGTGGAATTTTTAGAGAAAAATTTATCTCTCACAACACTTGTGAAAATCCGGCCACTATAAAAAATAAAAGCAAAAAATTGTGTCACATAATTTTCTACTATCTCTTTATTTATAGATTAGTAATTAGACTCCTAGAAGGAATCTAATCTTTATCTCCAAGATAAACCTTATCAATTACCTCCCATTTGAATTTGGAACAAAATCTCCCTTCACTTTATCCTACTTTGGCCGGCCATAATGATAGGATCCTATCCCTGTAATAGGCACTAATACTAGATAGAGAAGGAAGAGAAAATCATCATTTATCCTGCAGTCTAATTTGACTCAAATTCAAATTCCAATTTAAGTCAAACTTAAATTAATTTGAATTCTAAATTGAACAACTTATCAAATAAGTTTAAATTGATAAATCTAGATGTGTTCACATTGCGTGTTCATACTGTACGTTACGTTCATACTATGTGAACACCTTCACATAAGTAATCCAAAATTCAAATTTAAATAATCACATTATTTAAATAATAATTAATTCTCAATTAGTTATCCTTGAGTGTTTAATTTTAGAATTTCATAATTCTAAAATTCTCATTTTGTCCTTAGTATCTTGTAGAATTACAAAGACGACGCGGGAACTCATGGACCTATAATTTCGAGCTCCAATAAAATTAATAATTAATTAAAAACTTTAATTAATTAATTAATTAATCTTATTAATTCTAATAGTTCTCCACTATAAACTTGGAATTGCACTCTCGTAATTATAGATATAAATTACTTCTAAACTGTGAAGTGTCCATGTGATGTAGTCACTACATATAGATCAATCCTCCATAAATAATTCATAATTAGAGCTAGGTGAAATCCATTAACCTCTTTAATTACATCTTTATCATTGAGTGCCATTGATTCTCTAATGGACAGTGATTCAGAAAACAAATTCATGAATCAGAGCTCCTACTAGTCTAAATACTGAATCAACCCTCAAGAGAATTATTTATCTACTTCTTTCTAAAAAAGGAATGGATTCTATCTCGTATAATAACATTCCCGGCTACCTATATGACGACCCTCCTAGGTGGTAGCTGAATTTAACTTGTACTTGTTGGAACTTCTTAAAATTTGCGGAACCTTTTTTTTAAGTCTTATAGTAGACATAAGTTTCGAATTGCTTTCTTGATTAAAATATTCATACCTTAACATATCCGTTTTTTTTTTTCAAAGCATATAGGTATATCTATACATATATACTGAATTCTTAAGACTTGCTTGCTTACAGTCATAATCTACAAAACCATTTAACATATAGTTTCAGAATCATAATTTGCAAAACTATTTATAACGTAAAACTGATTGCGAAAATATTACGAGCGGTATCCATTCCCCAATCTCCACATCGTTTGTCCATTCACCGTCAGTCTATCAAGTATTATGTGCAAGTTGCTTACCTACAGCATAAATATTCTATGATGAGCTTTCGCTCAGCAAGTAGGAACTATTTATCGTAACTAACGCCAAAGCTTAACATTATAAGCTCTGTACTTTTATTTTCTTATTAATCTATCGACGTAATTATGAAAAATCCTTAATTAATTGTCACGCCCCGGGGCAGGGGTCGGTGACGTGGAGGCTCGATTAGGGGCTAAACGCGATTAAGAATAAACCATTAAAGAAATTCCCAAACGAGCCCCACATTTCACTGAAAATAAATTACTGATTATAAGAGGTTTATAACTAAGCCTCTAATATCGTTCAGGGCTTCACCCACAGGATACGTAACATTGTACATACATGAACACATAAATAACATTACAGACATCAACCACAGTCTAGAAATCCAGAGATTTAGAGTTTACAAAATTTACAATCCTTACATTCGTACACATGGAGGATAATCACAATCCTCTCCTAATCAGATGGTAGCAACTCAGCTACTTCGCATTGCTTCTAGAATTGCCTGGGAG